CTCGGGACCCCTCCCCAGCGCACCTGCACGATGGGGGTGAAGCCGGAGCCCAGCGTGCCCCTGAGCAGCGCGTTCCGGGTGGTCCCGACCAGCAGCTCCTCCCCGGGACCCTCGGCGATCGTCCGCACGGCCCCCAGGCTCTCCGGGAGCTGTGAGACCCCCGAAATGAGCCCCAAATACCCCTGAGGGACCCCTGGGAGCTGTGAGACCCCCGAAATGAACCCCAAATACACCCAGAGGGACCCCCAGGCTCTCCGGGAGCTGTGAGACCCCCGAAATGAGCCCCAAATACACCCAGAGGGACCCCCAGGAGCTGTGAGACCCCCGAAATGAGCCCCAAATACCCCTGAGGGACCCCCAGGCTCTCCGGGAGCTGTGAGACCCCCGAAATGAGCCCCAAATATCCCGGGAGAGACCCCCGGGAGCTGTGAGACCCCCGAAATGAACCCCAAATACACCCAGAGGGACCCCCAGGCTCTCCGGGAGCTGTGAGACCCCCGAAATGAGCCCCAAATACCCCCTGAGGGACCCCCGGGCTCTCTGGGAGCTGTGAGACCCCCAAAATGAGCCCCAAATACCCCCAGAGGGACCCCCAGGCTCTCTGGGACCCCCAAAATGAGCCCCAAATACACCCAGAGGGACCCCTGGGAGCTGTGAGACCCCCAAAATGAGCCCCAAATACCCCTGAGGGACCCCCAGGCTCTCCGGGAGCTGTGAGACCCCCGAAATGAACCCCAAATACACCCAGAGGGACCCCCGGGAGCTGTGAGACCCCCGAAATGAGCCCCAAATACCCCGGGAGAGACCCCCGGGAGCTGTGAGACCCCCGAAATGAGCCCCAAATACCCCCTGAGGGACCCCCAGGCTCTCCGGGACCCCCGAAATGAGCCCCAAATACCCCTGAGGGACCCCCAGGAGCTGTGAGACCCCCGAAATGAGCCCCAAATTGCTCGTCAGAACCCCCCAAAGTGCTCAGGGAACTGCAGAATCCCCCCCAAAAAAAACCCCATTAAAACCCCCTGAGGTGCTCGGGGCAACCGAGGGACCCCAAAAACCCCCAAATGCCCCCCAAAATCCTGCAGCCCTTTGGGATTCGGGATCCAGGGAGGATTCTGGGGATGCCCTGGCAGGATTTGGGAGAGTTTTGGGGTACCCAGGCGGTTTTTGGGAGATCTCTGGGGCACTAAGGGACATTTTTAGCTACTCAGGAAGATTTTTGAGGAAATAAAGGAGATTTTTGGGGTATCCAGAGCAGGTTTTGGGGCACTAAAATGAGATTTTTGGCTATTTTTTAAGGAGTTTTTTGGGGCTGTTTTTTGAGGCTCTAAAGGAGGTTTTTGGGGGACTGAGGGAGGTTTTTTTGGGGGTTTTTTTTGCCCACCTCCACCTCGTGCAGCAGCTGCAGGGTGGGGCTCCAGCTGAGCACCCTGCGGTCCTTCCCCCCCCCGCTCAGCACCGTCCCGTCGCGGCGGCGGCACAGCGCGAACACGCTGCCCTCGTGGGCACGGGTCTGCTGCCCGATCTGGTACATCTCTGGGGGGACAAAACACCCCAAAAACATCCCAAAAATGTCCTAAAAATATCCTAAAAATATCCTAAAAACAGCCCCAAAAACACCCCAAAAACATCCCAAAAATATCCTAAAAACATCCTAAAAATAACTTAAAAACAGCCCCAAAAACATCCCAAAAACACCCCAAAAATATCCTAAAAATATCCTAAAAATATCCCAAAAATATCCTAAAAACATCCCAAAAATATCCTAAAAACACCCCAAAAACATCCCAAAAATATCCTAAAAGTATCCTAAAAACATCCCAAAAATATCCTAAAAATATCCTAAAAACAGCCCCAAAAACACCCCAAACCCCATGAACACGCTGCCCTCGTGGGCACGGGTCTGCTGCCCGATCTGGTACATCTCTGGGGGGACAA